GGAAGGAAGGTTGGGCAATCCTACTTCCGTAGTGATACTGCCTTGGAAACCCAAGGAGGGGTCGCTATGAGTCGGGTTTGACTCGATGGCACATAACAACAACAACAACATGTGTATATATATACACACATGTTGTATATAACCATTACCCTGGTATAATGGTTAAGATCTCAATTGCTAACCAAAAGGTCAGCAGTTGAAACCTATCAGCTGCTCCACAAGACAAAAGACCTGGCAATATGCTTCTGTAAAGATTATAGCCTAGGAAAGCATATAGAGCAGTTCTGTCCCATAGGGTTACTATGAGTCAGAATTGACTCAATGGCACACAACATATACATACATATGTTAGCATGCTTATAATCAATGTGCACATCATTATTTTATATTTTTGTTTTTCTACTTTATCATTTTATATATCATGGTTCTATGAATTGACAACAAAATTTTAGTAATTTTTCCATGCTTACATAATATTTTATACTTGTATAGCCACATAGTGCTTAATATAAGCATAGCAAAGATTGTGACAATGGCATAGGACCATGCAATATTTAGTTCTGTTGTACATAAAAGAGGTCCCTAAAGAGCTCTGGTATGTAGTGCCTAGGGCATTTGACTGCCAATTGGAAGGCTGGTGGTTCAAACCCACCAGCTACTCCTTAGGAGGAAGATTGGATGATCTACTTCTGTAGTGATACTGCCTCAGAAACCCAAGGAGGAGTCACTATGAGTGATCTGACTCAACGTCAGTGACCACCACCACCACTGTGCATTGGTACCAACTCAATGTAACACCATAGTGCTTAATAGCATGCCTTCTAGAGTCACACTGCTTGGGTCTTTATCTGAACTCTACCCAGTGGTGTGTGCTGGTAAATGGTTAAAGAATTGGCCCTCCAAGTGTAGTTTTGCCATGAACTCATAGCATCATGAGAAATATCATAGATTGATATTTTTGCTTAACTTAATGAATAAGACTAGGGGTTGACAGACTTTGTCTGTAAATCTAGTAAATATTTTAGGCTTTGTGGTCCATATTGTCTCTTTGCACTGGCTCATCTCTGCCATTTTAGCAGGAAAGCAGCTCTGGATGATACCAAACAAGTGGGCATGGCCGTGTTTCCAATAAAACTTTATTTATAATAGGATGCAATGTACTTGGCCCTTGAACCATTGTTTGCCAATCCTTATTCTAGACAAAACAATAAGTCAAGTCCTGATTTGTAGTATTTGCTTGTAGTGTAAATACTCCCAATATGGCTGATTTCAAGTTACCAGTGAAATGTCCTTGAACAAGGAGTTGGGAAGAAATGTGTAATATCACATTATTATACAAGATTTCCACTCTATACATACAAAAGATATCAATCACCAGAGTTCTCCAGCCTCTTGTCCTGGCCACTCACTGCTCCATCCCCCAACAGATTTCTACATGGTGCCCTCTTCTACTCCCTCTTTCTGCAAATCTGCCTACTCTGGCCCCACCTTACACAAATACAATTTATCTAACCAGGCCCTATAATCTTGAGGCCCTTTCTAAGATAATCAGTTATTCTTTTAAGATATTATATTAAATTCTTTTTAATTGTTTATTAACCTTTGCTAAGGTTTGTGCTGTGCCAGCCTTGAGTGTTTTGTTGTGGTTTATTTTACTATCTTCTGGGAGATATGGGAAAAACTGACAAGTCAGTAAATCTAGTTTCTAAGCTTATGCACCTAGGTTTCTTGAACCTTCTTTCTGGTCATTAAATACCTCTTTATCCAATTCCCCTCTGAGGAAGACAGGTGATCTGCTAATTTATTGAAATATTATTAGTAAAATAATATTCTCCCACCCCAAGGTAACATGGTCATTTTAACAGGAGATGCTTCAAGCTAATCTCTTTTATGGTGAGATGCTGAGGCAAAGATAGACCAAGAAAGAAGATTCTCTTGTACCACCAGGACCTTATGGTGTACCTTAATCTTCCAAGCTGTCCTGTCCCACAGAGTCTGTCTCATTAAAGATACAATATCTGAAAGGTAGAAAAGGACAAATGGAGTGTGGGGCGGGGGGAACTACTGTTATGTCCATTTGTGTAGAATAAAAGATACAGAACAGGAGAAATTTGTCTTGGTAAGAGTGGTTCTTGAAGGTGTGTCATTTGTACTACCGTGTGTGTAAATATTGAAGTGTTAGAAAGGAAGCATGTCCTCCAAAGGTAAAGCCAATATCCTACTGTTCTGGAACCAGGGGTTGGAGACTGTGATAAGACTTAAATCATGGCTAGGAGCTGGGAGGACACCCCTGCGAGGGCACACAGTCTTGTATGCCATGAAAAAAGTCAGCAGACTGTCCACCCATACTGATGCAATGTTTGGTGTTGGCTTCACACACTGTGCTCCCCAGGGCCTCCACAGGCCTTAACTCTTTCAGAACATGAAGTATTTTTGCTCAGAAACTCTGTTTAACACCTTGTGACCCACTAGTCCACAATCTGGGCCAACAGGGCTGATGTCAAGTTACCAGTGGGATGCCATTGAGCAAGGAGTTGAGAAGCAATGATTTCTCCAGTATATATACCAAAATCCAAGCCCACTGCCATCAAGTCGATTCTAACTCATAGTGACCCCCATAGGGTTTCCAAGACTAAATCATTACGAAACAGACTCCCTCATGTTTCTCCCACAGAGCAGCTAGTGGATTCAAACTGCTGACCTTTCGGTTAGCAGCCCGATGCCTTA